ACTCCGCCTAATGGAAATACGATGGAAACGGCTGAAAGTAGAAAAACAGGACTCTGTTTCAGCTCTATTTGAACTCGGTTCTGTGTCGGTGGAAACTAAGCCAATGATGCGTAAATACGCGAGTTCGAATAATTGACCAACCAGAATAAGAACAACGTGCTGGCAGACTTTCTAGGAATTTCTTTAAACAAATGACGAGAGCGATCTTCATGGCACTTTTTAGAGCAATGAACAGTCTTTTGTTTATACCAAACGTGTCATGGCTGATTATACAGTGCAAGAATATCTGCAAATGGTGGACTTTTATCGGCGGAATAATGGAAATGCGCATGCGATAGCACGAGCATTTGTGCTCAATAATCTGAACAGACGAACTCCTGATCATAAAATAATCCTGGCGGTAGTTTGTCGTCAAACGGAAACTAATTCGGTTCTTCCGCCTCGTGATATAGGGAGAAGGCGGTGATGCTCGACCAATTCAATTGGCCAGTAGAAAACCCGCTTTTAACAAGGATCCAAAATTTTCAATTGCGATTCAGCATACACCTGTGGTGTGGACTATTCGGAAATCAACTGGTAAATTGAATTGAAAAAAAAAATGAATTGAATCAATCAATGATTGATTAAACATGACAAATCAATAGAACAATCCATGATATTAATGTATTATTTTCCATCTCTTTTCTTTATACACAGATTGGGCCAGTTATTTTACCAAATAATATCAATGGAAATAACTATTTACAGTTTCTCCAAGGAGACTTATTAAATATCATAAACGATGAAATACCACCGGAAGTGAGAAGAAGCATGTATTTCCAAGACGATGGCGCTCCAGCACATTATTTTAGAAACGTGCCGGAATTTCTTAATGAAACCTTTCCCGAGTATTGGATCGGTAGAGGCGGGCCTGTACCATGGCCACCGCGATCTCCTGAACTAAATCCTTTGGATTTTATTGGGGGTTTTATTAAACAAAATATTTATTTTCGGTACGATTCACCCGACAACGAAACTGAATTAAATCTTCGAAATAACGAAGCAGATGTTGCAGCGAGCATTAGACTCGTTCGTCACGCGATTACGAATGTGCATAGACGTTCAAGGTCGTCATTTTGAACAGTGTCTCTAATGTTAATAATCATTCAATACATACATAAAATATATCATTAAAGTTGCTGTTTTTATTTATGGTAATTTGTTCATTCATCAGCGACTATTTACTCCACAGTGTCACGTAAAAAGTACGGGAGAAGGTACGTATGTTTACTCATTCATATAAAAAATACAAGAAGTACAATAAAAGAGTACAAAAGTTTAACAGATTTAAATTATGGGAACCTGGCAAATACCAATTCTTGTGTTATTCCTCCATTTAGGAAAATGTACGGGAAAAAGTACAGGAAGAAGTATAGGAAGATGCAGGGGAGAAAGCACAGGATAATGCATGGGAAAAAGTACAAAAAGATGCAAAGAAGATCAAAGAGTGTACATACATACATTAATAAATACTATTCTCAACATTAAGTTTCTTTATCCTACTTTAAAAAGTGTGCGATTGAATGTCTCATGTCCGACAAGCTATAATTTAAGGTATTACTACGGTAAACTTAAAACCGCGTAATCGAGCTGAAATTTGTTTTACGTCTAATTTGTATAGCAGTACATCTCTCTACAAATTTTTAACACGATTCACTCATCTATTTCCGAGTATTTCCGAGTTAAAGTCAGGACTCGTAACACGTATTCCCTATACCTGGCCAATGTAACGCGCATGGTTTTTTCTATTGCATTTGACTCGTCCGCGTAATTCCGATGAAAAACTAGTATGTGGAAAAGGACAAATTTGGAATTTTTTAGATTTTTAGTCAGAACTTTTTACTCAGGATTTATTGATAGACATGAAAGAAGGTCGATATTTATTACGAAATCTCTCGTACGACGGCTAGACAAAAGAGCGTTACGGCAACATTGCGTTTGAGACTGTATTCGGTGTATATACGTATACACTACTATATCCAATATACATTAGTGTGCGCCTATCGATGCAGGGATGGGCGTGTGTGAGTGAGCTGTACCAGTTCAAAAGTTGACGCTGGATTGTTCAAATCTTACATTGAAAATTTTGTTATTTTTCGGTCCGTAGTAATACCTTGTAACGTAATTCTTTAGCTTGATCCGACACCGATAGCAAAACATACGGGAACGACTATCTTCGAGAACCAACCTACCACACCTCCGTAACGCTCACAGGAATTCATAGAATTCCTGGATATCGCGAGAACAACGCGAGAACTGTATGAATCGAGAACTTGCTATACCGTAGCGAAACACGGCAAGAAAAACTATCAACAGATAGCACGGGAGCACGAGCCAGCCCGTGGCACCTCGGTCGGTG